CTTTGGGAATTTCCCTAGACACCGACCTTACAGCGGACGCAAATACCCATGCCTCTATGACTGGTATTTACGCCCAAGTAAGTTTGCTCTTCTCTCTTTTTTTTCATTTTTAGCATTTTACTGTTTTATTAGTATGCATGCTAGGGTAGAACTAAGATATTATCCTTAGTAAGGAACCGAGGAATAACTCTTAGATTGCTTATTGCTTTTACCTTATTTAGGACCCCCATATTTAAATTGGATTGTGGGTGAGACCTCTGTGGTGAAAATTCGCCGGTCCAGGAGATATGTTGCGATCAGTAACAACCCTCCGGTTGGAGCGATAATAAGTCCGTTCGCCATCGGGGCTACCTGAGGCATTTTGATGTTGGGGTCGGTAGCGCAGCCACAAAGAATACTGCGGGCGCTGTTGGCGAGATATGGATGGGACACAAACCCAATCACTTTGGTCCACTTTGCTTTGGGGTTGAGGAATTGACATATGACCCCGCAGCTGATTTTTTTCGAGGGTTGATCTCCGGACCCTTTTTTGGCATTTCGGAGCTGGATCTGAAGCTTGATAGGTAATGACATAGGAGGACTGAGGTATTCTTCGCGCGTGATCGGGCAGTCATGCATGTAAGCTTGAGTATGACCTTGACCTGGCCCCGAGGATTGTCGGGCCAGGCTCTGGTGTTAGGCTCTACAACATTTGGTTGTTTCCAAGGAGGCTAGTTATCCCTGCTAGCCCTCCTGAATTTATCGCTAGATACAGGCGCAGGAGAGCTGACGGGCTAAGGTAGGTGGCCGAGATTTACTTTGTTGTGCTGACGGCTACTTAGGTGGCCAGATTCACTTTGTTGCTGCTGTTTGCTTCGACCTTCTAGTCCAACAGGAGCGTCCGTCAACACAGACTGAGTGTGTAAAACTGAGCGCTCGGGGCTATATTTATAGGGAAAAAACAGCCTGGAGGGCGGCAACTTCCGGCGGCAAGCGCCGCCGTGGCCGGCGGGCTTGTGGGTCTCTCGTTCAAAAGCTTTTTTCGGGAGTTTCGTACCTCCGAATAATATTCCGGGACCAGTTCTGCGATCCTCGTAACTTTCCGGACGTTTCAAGTACCATATTGGCATACTTTCGATGAACTTTTCCGAATGGCCTCCGTTTTAGCCGAATGGCCATTCCGGGACCAGTTCTGCGATCCTCGTAACTTTCCGGACGTTTCAAGTACCATATTGGCATACTTTCGATGAACTTTTCCGAATGGCCTCCGGTCCGGGAAAACAGGCTTTTTGAGCCTCAAAATTTGAGTATTCACATATAGGTATGTCAAAATGGAGGAAAAGATACATTCATCTAATTGTAATTTAATTAAAGCAATGATTCTTAGTGGCTAAATTAGGATTTTATTTAAATGATATTTATGCCCGAGTAAGGTGGATGAATAAAGATTTATTTATATTTATATATTATGTATGAAAGATTTTATTTATTTGATAGTTGACTAAAGAAGTTAATTATATTAAGGCAAAGTGAGAATGTGTTTGGATTAGATTGAAAATTATTTCAATTTATATGTTGAGATAATATTGATATTGTTACTCTGATAGAGGAAGGGAAAATTAAATTGCTTGATTGCCCGATAGATGTGTTGTGTGTGATGATCGATATTTATATGTATAAGTTGTAATTCTTTGAATAGGTGGATAGTCCAATTTTTCGGAGAGTTGCTGTCGAAATTTCGATAAAATCTAGTCTAGTTATAGCAAGTTAGATTAGTAGATAATTTATTAGATTAATTCTTTAATTCTCCATTTAAATTAGTCCTTTGTATGATGTGTTTCCTTCTTGTATTCTTAAATGCTTTAGATCGTCCGAACCCGTCTCCTGCTCCTCCAAGTCAAAATCCGAGATAGAGCACCTTCTTTTCTCTATAAATGTGAGTAATAATAAATAGTGCATATCATCAGTGCATACACATATCATTTATTTTATAAATAAATACATAAATAAAAATATAAGGGGATAACGTAGCATTTATTTTTTTATATGTATATTATTATTTTATTTCATTATTAGTATGTGATTATACTTTTATATTTGTGCATTAAGGACTGCTTTGATGCATTATGTTAAGTGAATTGTTGAGTATTTGTGTTGTGTAACTGCTGTGCTTTGCTTGTGTGGAATTGGGATGAAGTGGGTCACCATGGGTTTGTGAGAACGGTCTTTGATACCGTCAGCCATGTATGGGGGAGATCGGCGCCCCCGTGTGCATCTGATGATATATGATATGGAAAACCACATGATGGCCGCCTGTTGCTATGAAAAAGAAAAGAGAGAGAGAAAAAAAAAGGAGAGGGTTGGTCAAGTGAGGATTAGACTGGTTGGCCATGTATGGGGGTCAGCTCCCTAGTGCATGCGTTTGAGAGGGTGAGCCATGTGGGAGGACGACTCTCGGGGGGTTTCGGTGACTCTACTGACTAATTTTCACTTGTTTGATTATTTGAAGGTGAAATTACTTGTGAGTGCTGATGTTGTGCCATATGCTTGACTGGTTTTGTGTGCACTTGCCTGATGTTGTGCCCATATGCTTGGACTGGTTTTGTGTGCACTTCAGTACCTTAGGATGCATTTTGCATGAATAAAACGCTGTGTGTTATGCATTATATTATTATTATTATTCATTGAGTTGTAAAACTCACTCTTCTCTTATTTAACATGTCCGAAAGTAGAAGCCCATCGATCTAACTAAAGCTCTGCAATCTTCTCCGCAGGGCTATGATTTTGTAATTAACCAATTTATGTATTGTTATATGTGAAAACTTCACTACTCCTATCTATTGTTGAACTCCGCAGTTGTAGAATTTATGTACCTCTAATCTTGTATTAAAATAGTTGTGCTAACCTATGAATGTCTTTATTATTTATCTACATCATATGAATCAATAGCATGAATGTCGTTATTATTTATCTAAATCATATGAATCAATAGCTCATAATATGAATGAAATGCAATACTAATGGGGTTCGAACTATGTTTTGTTTGAGATATTTGAGATTGGATCAGGATCGTGTGATTATTGGATATATATTTATATATGAATTAACATGGGCTTCCTGTTCCTAGTATTTTGCTTGGCATGTATGGGCTTGGTAGTGTAGGCTTACTACTGGCTTTGGAGGCATTAAGCTTATCTGGGCTCTAGTACCGATCTGTCCTATAATTTCGGATCGTGATAATAATATCATAACTTGTCATTTTTTTATTAAAATATAAAATAATAAATTTCATATAAATAAGTACACTGATATTCCACACTAATGGATTAATTATATAAGCAGTAACATTCATTATAATAATTATTTTTAATTGATGTAAAAAATTTTGTTGATTTTAAGTAATTAATTTGGAAACTAAAAAACTAATGGGATAATTATATGAAGGCGAGTAACATCGATTATAATAATTATTTGTTAATTGATGTAAAAAATTTTGTGTTGATTTAAGTTGGAATTAATTTGGGAACTAAAAAAAGGATTGAAAAATGTTTACTATGTTTTTTAAGTGCATTTGAAAATAATTGTTGGTGCTCAATTTTTATAGTTCATAATAATAATAACTAACTTATTACTATTTAAAAAAAATTAAAAATGTTACTATTGTTTTTAATTGCATTTGAAAATAATTGTTGATGCTCAATTTTTATAGTTTCATAATAATAATAACTAACGTTATTACTATACTTCAAAAAAAAAGTCATTATTGGTTTGTATTTTTCCAAAAGAAAATAAAAATATAAACTAACGTCATTATTAGATTAAAAGATTAAAAAACATAACGTTAATATAGTTTGGCATTTTCCAAAGGAATTAAATAAAAAGGAAAAAAGAAAGTAAAAATAGTTGATTTTATAGTGGAGGGTAATTTTGTCAATAAATATTTCAATGGTTAATTTTGTGTAATTCATTTATAAATTTCATCAATTTTAGTAGAATTTGAGTTAGGTATACCAAATTTTATAGAATTCAATTCGTAGAATTCAAATCTATATATATTTTTTTTCATTTCAAATACAACATTTTGGATTCCAAATAAATTTCACAAAATTTTGTAGAGTTCATTTGTTCCAAACAGGCTTTAAAAGTATAATTAAATTGAACAGTGTGTAATCTGGAGAGGAGTCCGACTCTAGTCTCGTTTATCAAGGATTCTAGTTCATATGACACATTCCCTAAATCCTAACTGATCAATTCGGTTAGGGCCTGCTACCTAGATTGAAATTCGAAGGTATTCCTTCATACTTCCTTTGTATGAGGATCAGGATGCACGAAGTTCTACATCAATTAGGATAGTCGGATTTTGAGGATGTCACTCGAAAAGTAGACTTAAGGATGTGCTGGGCGGACCGGGTTTAGTTGAAAACAGATTTATTGGTTTTGCGAACATATTGAGCTTAAAGCATGCGATGTGTCGGACGGACTGACCTTCACAATTGATAAGGTGCCGACCAGACTAAACTTAATTACAAAAAATCAAGTTTAGTGCGATTACATCTTAGAGTTTGTGATTCGAATGGATCGAAGCTCCACAGTGACAATCGACCAAGGAGGTTGAGTCTCTCTCCAATAGAATGATTTTTGTAAATTAAAATATTTAATTGATACAATTTTATAAATTGAAGTGTTCAATAGATTAAAGTAAAAGTTAAGGATGTCATAAAATTTTCTACATAAAGTACAGAATAAATTTGTGCATTTATATTGCGTGTGTATATATATAAAATTTGGTGCATTTATTTGCGTGGCTATATAGGTTGATTAGTGACTACGGGTATGATAGTAATACATATTATATAGATATTATAGAGAGCAGAGAGAGGACGAGAGAGAGGGGCGAGGGAGAGAGATATAGAGACGGTGTGAATAGCGGATCGGAGGCGCGCGGTCATGGCAATTACCGCCCGCACCTCGGCAGTTTATTAGAATCGTCAGGGTAAATATAGAGAGAGAGAGAGAGAGAGAGAGGGGGAGAGAGATATAGAGACGGTGAATAGGATCGGGCGGGGCATGGCATTACCCGCCCCACCAGTTTATTAGAATCGGGTAAGGCGGGTGACCATCCACACAAACTGAACATGAGCCGCACAACTTGTATGATGACTGACCGGCGATTTCAGTCTCATCTCCGCTCTGCATACTCAAACACGTTGAGAAAAATAAACGAATCGCTACTTTTCCCTGACGAGAGGGTAAGTAAGAAACATTAAGAAGAATCAAAACACGATTCCTATTTCTTTTGCGTTGGAACCTTCCTACACCCCGTCCTCACGTCAAGCCTTTTCCTCTACAATAAAAGAAAGAAGCAAATTCAGTTCAACCAATTTATCCAATCTGCCTATCGACTCAATGTTCAACATCGGCAATGGAATCCCTCGCTACGGCAGTGACGGCGGAAGCGGCGGTTCTGGTGGAGGATTTTTGTGGGCGGTTGTGGCCGTGCCGCAGTCCAGAACAGCAGTTGCTGTCACGGCCTTGGCTGGAATTGCGGTTTGCGCTGCCTTATTCTACACAACTAGTAGGTAATAACTGGGGAGAGACTTGCAATTTTACATATAAAACCTAATTGTTTTTTTTCTTTTTCTTATTTTTATTTTGGGATTTCTATGAAGTTTCTCACTAGTGTCAGAATGAAATAATTGAAGTGAATGAAAGGTCTAAAATGAAGTCGCAATTGTTAATTCCTTTCACTTAGGCGAGTCCTGTACATCCCAATTTCTTTTATTTTTGTTTTCTTTCAGATTCTGTTGATGTTATTTGATTTTCTTTTTCAGATCCGATCTTTCATGTTCTGTTCAACTCCCTCTTTTTTTTTCTTTTTTTTTTTTGGCTTTGTCAGTTTGAATCTGAAGGGATTTTGTTGATTTATTCTTTTCATTGTTTTTGTAGTAAAAAATTGCAGTCGCTTTGATGGGTAAAATTTCCTTTTCCTTCTTTCTCTGTATTTCCGCTCACTATACTGTGGGACTTAGTGTGTAAGCATATATTGGCCTACCATAATCTTACTCACAAATAATAACAGTCTAATTTAATTGAATTCGACATGATTAATCATTCTAACTCTTTTTTTTTTATGGGCGGAAGGACTTTACGGGTTGTTTTCATGATTAGCTCTTTGCCTTGTTTTTAGTTATTATAAGTACTGGCTCCATGGTATGCTGATTATGATGATCCTTTCACTTTTAGGGGCCATCTTAAATCACCATGGTCTCACAGGAGAAGGAAACAAGCCCTTTCTCTTCAGCAATGGAGAAATATGTTTACATTGGATGGGAGACTTTATGATGGTGGATTTCAGTTTCTGATAAAAGTTCGGAGTGGAGTGCGTAGTAATTGCAGTTTCTGCATATGTTTTCTTATGCCATTATTATGGGAATATTTATGTCTTAAATTTCTCTTATAGGGTGTAGATCCAAGTATTAGAGCAGAGGTTTGGCCATTCCTCCTTGGCGTGTAAGCATGTTTAATTTTGTTCTTGTTATATATATTGTTACTTTTTTTTTTTTTTTTTTGTTATATGATATTGTTACTCTTTTTTTTTTTTTTTGCAGTCTGCTGCTATGTGTCATATTTCGAATAATCAATTGTTATGCCTGATAAAGACAACTTGGACAAGGCGTTTGGTTCGCTTTTTTTTTTTTTTTTGCAGTGCTGCTGCTATCTCATATTTCAATAATCAATTGTTATGCCTGATAAAGACAACTTTGACAAGGCTTTTGGTTCTTGATATTCAGAAAGGATTTTACTCAGTTTCCTCCTACAAATCCAGTTTTTTTATGTTCTAGCACTTGGAAGCAGTATAAATCTGCTAATTTCTCCTCATCTATCTCGGTTTCTGCATAATGTTTATTTTCCCCTTTGCTTTTTTTCTTTTTTCTTATGGTGAATTTCTACTTTCCATAACCTGCCTTTTAGGCTTGAGAGAGGAACTTCATCTTTATTTATTTTATGTTAAGAGTTCATATTTGAGAAGGAATTGGATTGGAAATTCTAATATTTTGTTATGTGCTGTCATGTTTTTCCCTCGATGGACATCAACATGGTGACTGATTTCTTGTCTCTCTTTTAACAGCTACAACTTGAACAGCTCCAAAAAAGAAAGAGAGAGAGTAAAAAGGGAGAAAAGGTGAATTTGTCATGCTCATCCTAAGTCCTAAGAAATCAGCTTCTTCCTTCATGCTGTTTTGAATCATAGATATGTTGATTATTAGTTGTAAATTGTATGTCTTTTTCTACTATTTCATGGTTCTTTTTTACAATTTGTGGTTACAGGAAGGAATATGAGGAACTCCGCAAACAATGCAGGCAGATCCTCAAACTGAGTGTTGAGAAGGAGGGCGGCAAAACAATCAGTAATGAGGACAGCAAAACAGTCAGTAATGATGGCAAAAGTACTGTTCAAGACACAGATAATTCTAGTTATGAAGATGTTGCTAGTGCCAGGGAATCCATTTCCAGTGAAGACAGGAGTCCAGATGTTGAGTACTCTGATGATACCTCTAGTACGCTGTTGGAAGGTGATCATACTTCAAAAGAACAAATGACAAGCACTGATGCCTCTATAGTAAACTCAGAGTCGTCTGATTCAGACACCTCTGGAGATTCTGAAGTGATCCTTTGTGCTTCCTCTGCAGAAGTCATGAAAAAGAATGAAGATGATGTGCTTTCCAAACAGAATACTTCTGCCTCAAAGAATGAGCTCAACTCGGACAGACATGCCACTGAAAATTTTGCCACATGGCAGCGGATCATTCGTGTTGATGCTGTCCGTGCTAATGCAGAATGGATACCTCATTCTCCATCTCAAGCTTCAGTATCAGAGGATGAAGCGCATCATTTTGCCAATGTTGTTGGGTTAAAGGACTATGAACACCTGGAACCCTGCAGGATTTTCCATGCAGCCCGATTAGTTGCTATTCTTGAAGCCTATGCACTCTACGACCCTGAAATTGGGTATTGCCAGGGCATGAGTGATCTACTTTCTCCAATCATTGCTATCATTTCTGAGGATCATGAAGCTTTCTGGTGTTTTGTGGGTTTCATGAAGAAGGCTCGCCACAATTTTAGGCTGGACGAGGTGGGAATCTGGAGGCAGTTGAACATTGTTTCCAAGATTATCAAATGCAAAGACTCTCGCCTCTTCAAGCACTTGGAAATGCTCCAGGCTGAGGATTGCTTTTTTGTTTATAGGATGGTGGTGGTGCTGTTTAGGAGAGAATTGACATTTGAACAAACCATTTGTCTCTGGGAGGTGATGTGGGCAGATCAGGCAGCCATAAGGGCTGGCATTGGTAAGTCAGAATGGAGCAGGATAAGGAAACGAGTGCCACCAACAGATGATTTGCTGCTTTATGCCATTGCAGCTTCAGTATTGCAGAAGAGGAAATTGATTATAGAGAAATATAACAGCATGGAAGAGATTTTAAGGGAGTGCAATAGCATGGCTGGGCAACTTGACATTTGGAAATTGTTAGATGATGCGCACGACTTGGTTGTGAACCTGCATGACAAGATAGAGCCGCCTTTCTGACGGCAGTTTTTTTGTGATGCCTTCCTATTATTTGCTTACTTCGTTTTGTTCTGGAACAAGCTCTCAGTTATGCTGCTTACTGTCAAATGACATGGTGTTGAGAGGATTATTTACACATATCTGCATTTAGTTCTACCACTTATTTGAACACAGCAATCTTTAAATTCAGTACCATAGGGTATTAAACAGGTAGGACCTGTATCATTGACCAATATTAAGGTGGATGAGGAATTTTAAGATTTTGACGAACTGATTTTTGATTCTTTTTCGTCAAACAAAGGTGATTAGTAATGAATTCTGTGTAATTTGCCAATAGTGGAAGCTCTTCAATGAAACTGAATAAGATTTGCTTAATTTTAGTGCGCATTTTGTAGAATGTAATTTCTTGGTAATGGAGTGTGATCAAATAAAAATTCAATGGAAAAATAAAAAATGATCTAGAAGTTTGTTTCATTATATTGTATAACTTTTTATTTCTATAATTAATGCTCAGCAATTTACCTTCGTAGTCTTTAGGATAGAACAACTCAAATTACAACAACTCAAATTAGTTCATACATAAGTTGGTTTAAGAACAAAGGTTGCCCGTACCAAATCCACTCTGAGCCTTTATACTTTGTCATACCTCAACTTCAATTTGTAATAAAAAAAAAAAAAAAATGACCCATCTTTAATTCTTGTAACACCAATATGACTCGAGCAATTTTCCAGATCAATCCTCCACATCGGAATCTTCATATGATTTAGTGATTTGCTATATTAAAGAATATTTTGCAGTAAACATCTAGTAAACAAAGGAGCATTAGGCATATATAAATACAAGTTAAGTATAGGAAATTCAATTTAATATATCCACAGTAAAAGTACTAAAATAATTTTTTCCAATTCAAGATTTACTATAGAAGTATTTCATTCTAAAACAATCATTGAATAGTCAGATTATTTACTAATTAGTTTACAAAACAAAAATGCAAACATACAAAAGAAAGAACATGCAGAGCTGGAAACAAAAAGGCATAAATTGATGCAAATATAAAGACAAGTATTTAGGCCAAACGGCATTTCATAATGGAATTCCTATCAAATAAATTATGCCAAATTGCGTTTGGCATAAACTATGCCAACAGCTCTTGAAGGACGGAAAGAAAAGTGTTTGGCCAAATTTAGGCCTTCAAAAAAAAAAAAAATTCAACTGTTTAGGCCAAATTTAGGCCTTGAAAAATAAAAAATACAGTAATTTTTATATTCTAATTATTTCCATGGTTGCTTTGTGTTTACTGGATGCTTTTTCCTTATAGGCAGCTTGGAAACAGTTGGCCTTTGAGCTGCAAGTACATTAACATTTATATTAGCAATTGCCTTATCTTTAGTCCTTGCACTGTCATTGTTAAAAGGATAACTATTATTGCTGTATAATCACTTGTATATTTAGCTCTTTATATATTGTACTTATCCAATAGCAACTATATAAATACATACGTGACTGAATCGCTATTTCTCCTCAAAGTCTCTTTATTGTATGCAGTATATGGTGGTACAGGAAAAGACTGAGTTGCACTACTTCTCCGTGTTGCTGGTTCATTCCCAAGTATTTGACTGTCAATCTATTAAAAATATCAAAATTTTAATAATATTCCTGCAACATTTTTCCAAAATTTAGTTTGTTTAGCAAAAACACACTTACTATGTTGACTTCTACTGGAAAAGAGGGATTTTATGCATTTCAGTCCTAAGAAATATTTGACTAATACCCTATATAGAGTAAATAGATATGCAATTAAATTATCTTATATTGTACTCAAAAATTCAAATAACACACAACTACCAGTAAAAATGGCTTACATCCATCATCCATTGTGGTCGGATAGGGACTGATCTTGTTTCACTTTCATTATGTTGAGGATGCACTTCAATTCTACTGGTAGAATAATCTGCAGTGTAGGTGATGATGTTATCCTTTCTTCTTTTTTTCTACATATGAAATAACATGAAAAGGTTATTTATAGCAATAAATTGTGAATAACAAAAAGTTATGATATGACTTACACTTTTTGGAGCTCCAGTGTTGGCTAATCCATGAAATCTCTTGTTATGCCCAACAATACCACACAAACTGCATTTCATATTCACCAGGCCTTTCTTTCCAAATTTCCTTTCTCTGCTGCCTGCTCCAATTCTTCAGCCTCTTTCCTTTTCATTGTCTTCTTTCTACCTCTCTTATCCTTAATAGGGGTTGGTGGGATTAAGGGATTAACTCTGTCAGTCTTAGGCCACATTTAAGGTCCATTTAGAGGGTTAACGAAAGTACTATATACTTTCATGCATGTTGCAACTGTGTGTAATTCATGCACATAAAACTCTAGATCCTCATTTTTCTCCCCAATACAAGCAATCCCATGGCCACAAGGTATGCCTGGATTAACTCTGTCAGCTTAGGTCACGATTTTAAGGTCCATTTAGAGGGTTAAGCGAAAATAGTACTGTATATTACTTCATCAGCAATGTGCAACTGTGTGTTAATTCATGCACATAAAAGCTCTAGAATCCTCAATTTTTTCTCCCCAATACAAGCAATCCCATGGCCACAAGGTATGCCTGTCCAAGTCTCCATCTCCTACAAGATACAAAGTGTTTTGCCTTCCATCATGCTACTACATTTATTGCCTATGTAGGGTCAACTACCTAAACCTTAGGTCCTTTGCACCTTTTTCGTTTGCTTCCCCTTTCCTATACAAACCTTTTTCGTAAGTTTGGTCCTTATCATCCTCAAGCATAGTAAGTATTGCTTTGTTAGTATCAAAGAATGTATTGTTAATGACTCACAATGATTGTTAGGTTAACAATGTCAACAAAGTGGGTTGAAATTTTAAAATGAGCCCTAGACCAATTTGCAAGGTTGTTGTCTCAACCATTCTCCTAGCTTTTCTTACATCTCTTTTTTCTCAATCTTCATCAAATAGTGAATATTAGTTTTAGCATCATAGCTTGCGCATGCTGCAATTCCATAACAAATTTTTTCATTTCTTTTCCTTTAAAAGTGTGCCTATTAGTGTTGTTGTATAGGATGTCTAACACACATTCTAATGCTGCTGAACTCAGTCACATCTACTTATAACACTTACAAGACCCTTTATTCATTTTCAAACCAGTTATATAAGAAAAACCCATTATAAGTAGCAAACAGGAAGAAAAAAACACGACTCAATATTCAAAAAAAAAAAAAAAACACGACTCAATATTCAAGTCTTATTTACACAAAATAACATAAGCTAAAAACAAAATAGTAAATAGAAGTCATACCTTCTACCTATCACTCATAAAACATATATGATGGTCATTGTACAGCTCCAAATCATCCTTTAGGAGTTCTAAGAACCAACCACAAGTTTCCAGGCTTTCATTCTCACACACATACGCAATAGGGAAAATGCAATCATTTGGATCTATTGCAATGACACATAGTTGCTGTCCCCCATAATTTTCCTTCAACCAACATCCATCAATGCATATTAAAGGCCGACAATGCTCCTTAAATGCCTTCTTCAAAGGCTCAAGGCATATGTAAATTCCCTCAAATATTCCCCTCTCCGTCTTAAAATACACTGAGGTCCCAGGATTTGTTCTTAATAACTCAGCTCTATAATCATGCAATCTGTTATATTGTTGACCATCGTCCCCATGAATTATAATTAATGCCTTATCCCTAGCTCACCATGCCTTCATCCTACCTATCGTATACCCATGTCTCTTTTTAACTCTATCAATAAAATGGTTCAATTCCCAAATCGGTTTTACTCTAAAATCTTCCTTGTATGTTTTAGATAACCATGTTGATATAACATAGAAATTTTTAAACACCTTAGCACAAATACGTGTCAATTTTGCAGTTTTGATTTGGAAAGTATGATCATTTGAATCTTTTTTGTTAGATAAGCTTGGAAAAATTTTCCACCCACATTCTTTGTAACACTTAGCCTTAACTTTTTCCCTATAGTTTTTACTAAACCAAATCTGAAATCTTTTCTTAATCCCATAGACCCTACATGCTTCCTTAAATTCCTCCTTATTTTTGAAAAGCATACCTACCTTAAAAATAGGCCTCCCCATATCTGTAATAGGGTTGAACGTAGAAAATCTGACCATATTATCATGTTCAGAATCAGACTCAGTCAATAACTCATCGAATGGAGCATGTTTTTAGTCCTCCCCATAGTTTGGATGGCTAGAGTTTTGGTGAAAAAGAAGATGGGTCGTTGCATATTTGATATTTCAGGTTTCAGATGATTTTTAGGTACTTTTGTAATTTCTCCAAATGGATGGTGGAGATCAGATCTTAAAATCTCATCCAAAGGTTCATATTAGTTCATTAATGGTAATATGGTAATTTGCCATTGTGTAGAGACTAGATTGACTTCATCCAAAGTCTTATAGATAGAAGGTTAGGATTTGTTTTAGGTTCCTCTTATCGTAAGGCTACAATTAGACACTACAATAAGTCTAACTACACATTATAAAAATCCTATATTTACACATGTCATGGCATAAATTAATTCTCCACATAATTAAAATTACTAAAATAATTTATGGCACCATATCTCATCTATATGAGAATAAATCATATCTTAATAAATTAAATATCTAAGCATGTGAAATTACTAAACTACCCCTATGACATTATTTACCAATAAAATAATTGATCATCAGAATCTTATATTTCAAATTTAATTAATCAAGACTAATATAAAGTCTAATTAACTCCATAATGATTAATTATGATTAATATCCTTCTTGTATCAAATAAATATCATTTTTGTATTGGACAATACTATATATGACCCGATATAGTAATACTATTTTAAGACCCGAAATTTTGGGGTGTTACAATTACAATTGTTTTTCCCTGCACAACCCTCTTATATCTTCCTTAATTATATGTGTTATGATGTGTAAATTACACAATATTCTGTAATAATTAACTTTAGACAAAAATTCACATATATGGATTTTCAATTTTATTTACTTGAAAAATATAATTGTATGGTAACAAATATTTTGACTAAACTAATGCTAGAAGTATCGCTATCAAATGGTATAAATACTTACAGTTTCTTACATAATATCATGCGCATGTTAGTGCCATGTAATACTCATAATGCTATCTATAAGTTGGAATTATCATGGATAAATTCAATAGATGTGAATTATCATGGATACATTTTTATTTCATAGTACTATATTCATTTATTATGTTACCATTTCAAAATTATATTTATAAATGTACAAGTTATGATAATTAACCACGACATTGTGCCGGCTTTATGCTCGTTAAAAACTAATCTAAATTGGTTTAATTCAAAATTTTAATAGTTCTAAACTCAGGAAGGGGAATAGTTTCTCCCTCTTGGAGAGATCTTAGACCAGAATTCTATCTAAATGCAATGTAGACTATTAATCTTTATCATAGGCTTGCTTGATAACCCATCTACTCCGACAAGGTGAGTATATTCTAGAGTTCCTTTCCGCTTCCTATGCATATTGTTTATCTTCCTCTTTTTCTATTTTTGGTTAGTCGATGGGATGAATGATTTAAAACATATATATATATATATATATACTTATTTATAGAAATTTCCCATAAATTTATTCGAGGGAAAGAGAAAGAAAGATATAAAATTTTGTGTAAACTATTATATCAATTTTTATATTTCTTTTTACTTTTATAATTATAATCCAATTATTTCTAAGAGTACTAGAAAAGAGAAAAAAAATATCACATATTCCTTTTTATAATAAAAAAATTAGGTATGTATTTTTTTTTTTTTTGACAGTCATCTACAAGCAAAGAAAAAGAAAAGAAAAAATTAATTAGATGTTTTTATGTGCACCACTTTATCAAGAAATTAGGCTATTTTCTTCTATAGAAAGAACAAAAAAAAAAAAAAAAAAAAAAAAAAAAAGAATATAAGAATATTTATATGTGGTGTATTTTCAAATCTATTTGTATTATGTTGTGGATTTTAAATAAGAATTTTTTTTTTAAATGTTGTTTTATTTAGAGATAACCTTAGTCCTATTCCTGGCTTTGTAACCAGATCCTGCGGAGCCTAGAACATACTAGATCTCTTTCTTCTATTTTTAGAGATTGAGATACTATCCTGGTAAAGAAGTCCCTAAAAGAAGTGGAAAGCAGCCCAGCCCATTAATTTTTTATCATCATTCGCTATCATATAATAAGTTTTATATGCTTTTAAAATATTTTACGTCCAGATTTTACATCAATACAATAAAAATAAATTTGTTAAAATTAAAATTCATATTCAATTAATAGTCTATTCAATTAATAAAATTATTATTATTATTATTATTATTATTATTTATTTAAAGTATTTTTTAATTAAATCTTTTTAATTAATTATGGCTTTATTTAATTATATATTTTAATAATTTAAGTATTTTTTAATTAAATTCTTTTAATTAATTATGGCTTTTTTAATTAATATATTTTTAATTAAAATATTTTAATTGGCCATGACGAAGGATAATTTAGAATTTTCAATTAAAATCTTTTGAATGACCATTGCTAAGAATAAATCTGTCAATTCCATTATTGTCCTCCTCATTCCCACATTTATATATATTATATAGATTATAGATAATAAATGTGCAATCATAAGTATAAAAACAATAAAAAGGGATATCAAGAAGTTATCCATAATTGTAGGACTACTCCATGGATTTGTCTTAAACTCATAAGTTATTAATGAGTTACCGTATAGTATATAAGATGTTACGTGGTGCATGTTATTCACAAATGATATGGAGAGTAAGTGTTTTAAGTTAAACAAGTAGGACAAAATTCAAGCAATGCGAGTTTAGTCCACACAGGAAAGGAAGTTGGTCATATTAAATGATATTGTGGCGTCTAAATGCAATCAATTAAAATATCTATATTATATTTTTCACAAGGTTGGCATGAAAGATGGAAAGTAACTATTGTACTATGGATAGAATGATATTTATTGAAGTAAAAGGTAAGTTGTATCAAAACAACAGTGAAGTTGGTAATGTTATATTGAATTTCGAAAACCTAATATATCCACAAGATGAATGTTAAAGAAATTGAGATATTACGATGGATTTATTATAACATAAAATTTAACAATATCAGAAATGTTCACATTTGATAAAAGGTGCAAGTAGTGTAAGTTAGAGGTGAGGCTTTTGTCCTGCTAAAATGGCAAAAACCTAGCAGGTGAGATTCTTATTTGACCTGTGCTTCCTTTAACTTTTTGCAGTTTGTTTGTACATTAAGATAATGGGTTTGGGTAATGTTTCATATTATACTAGTTATGAAATATATATTGAATATATTAA